AACAAGCATTGGCTGTGCGGCCCAGCAGCATAACGGGGTCCTGTAAACAAGGGAGCCCAGATTAGTGGCCTGAGCTCTGCCACTTACGAGCAGCCGGCTTGGACTAGTGATTTTACTTTTGAGCCTACGGATGGCGGATGCTAGTAATTGCTTCCCCCGGCTGTCCTGGGTTATGTAACACCCGGAGGAGGGTGATCAATAAAGCCTGGCTGTTCTTACTGCATGAGCTCTGCTTCAGCATCCCTCCTAGTTGTCCTCCCTTTGGAGGGCTAGAGACCAAACCTCCATCATCTTCTCCGGACTTCCTCCAGCACCCTCCCCTGTTCCCTCTGGGGAGCTGGGCACAGGCTAATGGCACCGTATCTCTGCTGTTGTAGCTGTCCCCCACCCCGCAAGCATCTCACCGGAAGGTGTCACGAGAACTGTGGGGTGTGGATGGAGGTATCCAAGGGTCCAGGCGCTGACTGCACTTTGGAGAAACTTGCCCTTGAACACCACTGGGTGAAATGGAGTCACTGTGGACGTTGCCGGTGGGTTAAGAGGCAGGTATCAAGCCTATAGGCTCTTTCTACTTAGAATATAGGTCAAGATCTCCTCAAGGCAAGGTTACAGAAGCCTTAGACCTACTCCTAAGCATCCAAATTTAGTGAATATTTTCCTGAATGGTTCATGGTTCACTGAGAACCAACAAATATCAAGAACCTATTTACTTGACCCCAGAGGCATCTCCTGATCTGTATATAAGGGAGATTTTCTGCTCTTGTCTTAGTTCATGAACCAGCAAATGAGTTTAATATTTCAGGAAAGTATGTTTTCCTGGCAGTGAACAAAATTCACAGACTCTGAACTGGAAAGGACTGAGGAGGTCCCATGAAAGCGAAGGTCCACCTTTGGCTTGCTGTGGCAAGACATTTGGTGTTTCTCGAGGAAGCAGAGGCTTGTTAGAGAGTGGTCAGTGCATCTGTCCTTGTGGTGATATTTATTAGTTATTGGATTGGGCAGTGAAATCACTTCTCCTTGGGATTATCTCATCAGTTTGATAACTAACTCCCCTGATCACCCCACCTAGAGAACAAAGAAACAAGCTTTATAAAAACTTAATGTTTGTTTTTTCTTTTTAAAGATTTTATTTATTCGAGAGAGAGAGATCACAAGTAGGCAGAGGCAGGCAGAGAGAGAGAGGGGGAAGCAGGCTCCCCGCTGAGCAGAGAGCTCGATGTGGGGCTCGATCCCGGAACCCTGAGATCATGACTTGTGCTGAAGCCAGAGGCTTAACCCACTGAGCCACCCAGGCGTCCCGAAAAATTGTTTTCTTATTACAAAAATGATCTGTGATCACTGAAAACTGGAAAATATGGTTAACCCAAAACATATGAATAAAAAGCACTTATAATGCCATTAGGAAGGCAGAGGCTTTTCTTTTTTTTTTAGGTTTTTATTTATTTATTTATTTGAGAGAGTGAGAGAGAGAGAGCATGAGCAGGGTGAGGGGCAGAGGGAAAAGCAGACCTTCCCCCTGAGCAGGGAGCCCGAAGTGGGGCTTGATCCTGGGACCCGGGGTTCACGACCCAAGCCGAAAGCAGATGCCTAACCAACTGAGGCACCCAGGCACCTCAGGAAGACAGAGTCTTAAATGGTCACGTCCGGACATCTGCTTGGTAGGATCACTTCACTTCATCCCAAACCTCCATGCAGTGGGACATCTGCTCCTTGAGGAACTACACTGAGTCTAGAATTTTAGTCCAACTTCTCCAGAGGTTCAAGCGTTTCCGGAACACGCCATCCTTCCGCCAACTCCCAACCAGACACCAGGAACTCAACCTGAGACAGAGGACAAGGACCTCCCTAGGAGGATCATCACCCCATCCAAACCAGTTCCTGTATCCTGAGGGCCTGTTTTCTTCCCTGCTGGGCAAGCCATAAACATAAGAGCTAACAGAACTAGAAGTCCTGGCCTTGTAAGCCAAACCCGCACCAATGACCTTTCTTCCCCTCTCCCTATTCCCACGAAGAGGCCCGAAATTTCTTTGCAAAATGGCTCATGTTAACCATAGTAACTTTTATGGCTTATGGAGTCTATGCTAATGCCAGGGACAGTTCCAAGCACTATGCCAATTATTTGTCTTTTTAAAATCTGTCTTACACCCTGTTGACTTTAGAGGACTGGTTTATACCTTTCTGGGAAGGCCAGGTGCTTAACACAGATCCCTACGAGCCCGTGCTCAGTAATGCTACAGATTCTGAGCAGAGGTCTGTATCCTCCTCCGAAACAAAGCATTTCTTTTTTTATTTTTTTTTTAAAGATTTTTATTTATTTATTTATTTGACAGGCAGATCACAGGTAGGCAGAGAGGCAGGCAGAGAGAGAGAGGAGGAAGCAGGCTCCCCGCCGAGCAGAGAGCCCGATGTGGGACTCGATCCCAGGACCCTGAGATCATGACCTGAGCCGAAGGCAGAGGCTTTAACCCACTGAGGCACCCAAGCGCCTGAAACAAAGCATTTCAATTCTGGCCTCTGCAGATCTGGCGTTGAAGCTGGTGGGGGGGTTGCATTTCAAACTCACCACGCCCCCTACCTGCCCACAGATGTGAAAGAGTGAGCTCCCTAACCCTCTCTTCCTTCAGCAGTGATGTCTGGGGGCTGTTTCCGCAGACCTGCCACTGAGGGAAGCCCCGCTGGCAGGCAGTGAGAGAAAGGGAGTAGAAATAACAACAAATAGGCCGGGAGAGGTAGCTTCCAAAACAAACCAAATGCAAAAGGGCTGCTTGCCACCACCTTGGCTGGGCCCAGGCCAGGAGCACAGAGTGACAAGAACACATACGTGCAGGGAGACACATAGTTCCAGCAAGCTCCCTGCTGGATCTCCATGCTGCTACTGGGGGACTCCGGGGCACGGGAGCCTTGCAGTCAGTCAAGGCTGACAGGGGAACGAGGTGGGCGGTATGGAGGGTGGGGGGATCTGAGAGAAATGCCTCTTGTCTTGTCTCCATTAAGCCTCCCGGGTGCCTCCTGCTTTCTAGCCACCCTGAGTGACACTTCAGTCCCACAACACACCCTATTCGTGAACCCCCTTTGTGTATGCGGACCCCTCTGCTAGGTATGTCCTCTCTTCTCTTTGCCTGGCAAACTCCTATTCATCCTTCAATACCCAAGGTCAAAGGTGAAGCCATTTTGGACCCCACCCATTAGCCATCTCACTCTCCACATTTCCAAATCATGGCTAGTCTTATTTCTTACATAACTCACTTCACTCGCAAAAATGGGCGTATCTACCTTCCCAATGAAATGGGGGAGCTCCTTAAAGGCAGGGGCTTTTGAACTGGTTTTGTATCTCCAGGGCCCACCCCGGGCCTTGGCCCACAGTAGGCACTCAGCATGTTTGTTTGAATGAAGCACGAGTCCTCCTGTTAGGAGTCTTTCTGGAGTTGCTGGCAGTCATCACCCAGAATCTAAGTCCCTCGACAGGAATAACCAAGCTGGAGGGAAGGATTTTGATAAATGAGAAGCCTGATGTTCAGAATCCCAAAGCATGCAAGCAAACTAGAGTAAAATTCTGTTACTGTTAGATCAGAGGCTTTCAAACTCTTGTGACTTGCGTCCACAGTAAAAAACACAATTTATATTGTAACTAGCCCGTGTGTAGTACACACAGATCTGTAACTGAAAAGCACTAACAAAACATTACCATTTCAGGTCTGTTTCTGTAAAGAGAAAGAACTTTCCAAAAGGCTAGGACCGAGTAAATTGATTTCAAGACCCAAAATGGATCACCACGCACTTTGACAAACATTGCTTTCAATGACTTTAGCTTGATAAACATGAGAAATCAGATCCCCTTACAAATACCCAAGCAAGGGCGCCTGGGTGACTCAGTGGGTTAAAGCCTCTGCCGACTCAGGTCATGATCCCAGGGTCCTGGGATCGAGCCCCACATTGGGCTCTCTGCTCCGCAGGGTGCCTGCTTCCTCCTCTCTCTCTCTGCTTCTCTGCCTACTTGTGATCTCTGTCAAATTAATAAAAATAAAAATCTTTAAAAACAAAAAAAAAAACAAATACCCAAGCAAGGGCGCTTGGGTGGCTCAGTGGGTTAAGCCTCTGCCTTCGGCCCAGGTTATGATCTCAAGGTCCTGGGATCGAGTCCCATATCAGGCTCTCTGCTTGGCGGGGAGCCTGCTTCCTTCTCTCTCTCTCTGCCTACTTGTGATCTTTCTCTGTCAAATAAATAAATAAAAATCTTAAAAAAAAAAAAAATACCCAAGCAAAAAATCCTTATTACCTGTGTGCCCAGTAATTCGGGCAGGCGGCTCTCCTCTCCCACTAGAGCAGCAAACCCAGGTGTGTCTAAAGGGCTCTGCCCCACAGCTGCTTGAAACCACTTGGGCCCAGCAGGACCCGGAATCAAATAAAGCAGTGTTACTCCCTGTCACAAAGCAGGTCCCAGTCTTTGCTCCCTTCATCCTTAAACTCTCCCTTTCCTTGTCCTGGGAACCACCATCAAAAGCCAGCTGCTGGGGTGCCTGCATGGCTCAGTGGGTTAAGCCTCTGCCTTTGGCTCAGGTCATGATCTCAGGGTCCTGGGATGGAGGCCAGCATCGAGGCTCTCTGCTCTGCAGGGAGCTTGCTTACCCCCTTCTCTCTCTGCCTGCCTCTTTGCCTACTTGTGATCTCTGTCAAATAAATAAATAAGTAAATCTTAAAAAAAAAAAAAAAAAGCCAGCTGCTTCCTGAGTGTACAACCATCCCAGCTGCGCTTTCAGCAGCCAAGAGTGTATCTTATCCACTCGACCTGCCTCTGAGAGTACAAAAAAATTCAAAGCAAACACTGGGATTCTCAGGCTTTTGCTTGTACTAAAGCTTGTTTTGTTACACTGTCCACAGTACTATTAATGCACTCTGGTGAGGCAGGAAACACTTGGGGTTCCCTCCTGTACATACATACTTGTAAAGGTTCCTACTCTCCCTTGCCCCATACATACAGAATTTACACAGGGGAGAAACAATGGCAGTGGGGTGGCTGCATGCTAACACAACTTGGTAGTTTTTATTGCCTAGGACGATGGTTACAGACCACAAAGACTGGGAAGACCCACTGCTTGGGCCCAACAAGAGACAATACTCTCCCTCTCAATTCAGAGTCCTCTGTACAAGAAGAGCCATATCTGAGCCTAGTTATGTGAGGGTGGGCGGGTAAGGTGGCCATCCTCATTTCCATTACTTGGGTGCAACCCTGAAGACCCGGATGTGGATGGCCGAGTTGTTGCGGATGCGGGTCAGAGGCTCTCGTGTATCAGTCTCTGGTTCCAGCTCATCGACCAGCTCCACGGTGGAGGTATTGGCAGCCACCTGCAAGGACCCGAAACTGCCCGCCTGCAGCTGTAAGGCAATGTTGATGGCACGGTTGATGGCCAGGCCCAGGCCATGAATGTAGATCTCACTGCATGAGTTCTGACCCCGAGCCCCTCCGTCCAGCAGCTTCTGGCAGCGGGCCAGCTGGGCCTTAAAGTCAGTCTTCATGTTGACATAAATGTCATTGGGCCTCCGGGGCAGGCGGTGGGGGAGCCGCTTCCGAAGGGTATACTCCACCGGGTCCAGCTCAGCCTCGACGGCCCCGCGGGGCTCTCGGTTTTCCGCCATGCTGTGCGCCCTGACGCGGAAAAGGGAGGAGATCAGAGAGAGGTGACAAGCGACTTCGCTGCCTTCCCTACCCCGTTTCCAGCCCAAAGGGTGCAGTCAGGAGGGGGCGCACTCAACTCCCCTCTCGCCTCCCAACCTCGGTCCCCTCCCCCTCCCCTCGAGCTCCCGGATCTCTCTCACCCTCAGTTTCTATTCATTCAGGACATCGCCCCCCACCTCAGGCCCCCACCCCACCCCCTTCCTCCGCGCCTACACTCTCCAATCCACGGTGCTCTCCCCGAGCACGCGGCCCGCTCCCGGCCGGGCCACTCAAGCGCGGAGCCCACCCGCACAGACCGAGCGCGCAGCGTCGGATACACACGACCCAGGAAGAGAAGAAACGCGGCGCTTTGGAGGATCGCGAGATCGCGGGCGCCGGGACGGCTCCGGGCTCCGGGCTCCGGGCTCCGGGCTCCGGGCTCCGGGAAGGTTTGCGCAGTGCGCACGCGCGCCTGTCCCCGCGAGCCACAAATCGCCTTCCCGGCTTCCGTTCTCCCCGCCCCTCTGGGCGCTCGCGCGACCGTGCGCTGCCTCTAAGTCACGCGAGAGCGACGGGAGACCCGCTCCACCGTGTGTGCGCCACGCAAGCGGGGCGCGGAGGCAGGAGGCGTGTACCAAGTCAAAGCTCGGGAGGGTCCGCTTTCCTAGGCCAGTCCCAGTTCTTGGCCCACGGAAGGGTCCTGAAGCGGGGAAAAGGAGAGAGGAGACTCTAATAGGAGCATGGAGGATTGGGTATAGGGGCTGACAAAGACAACCGGGAAAGCTGAGAGTTCACGAGAAGGTGAAGGGGCCTGAAGGCAGATCTGGACTCCCTCGTCCATCGCAGTTCTCTGGTCGGAGGAGGCGTAGCGGAGCTGGCAGAGCCGATCTCCTACCCAAGGTCCCTGCTGACAGAAGACGCTGCTTCTGGTCTCCTCTGTAGGACACGGGGACGCGTTCTTCTCCCCTGTCTCTTGGAAGGGCTGAGCCCCCAAGTCAGCCCTTGGGGACCCAAGCTATGAGCCCTAGGGCCAGCCTTCAAGGCTCCCCGCAGAGCACACAGACCCTCCCACACACCCCCCAGCTTTACCCACCAGCTCGCTCATCTGCCTCTGCCCACCCCAGCAGGGACCTGCGCCCCCTGGCGGGCAGGGAGGGACGGCGCCTCGGGATTCGTGGCTCCCAAGGGCCGGTAGGGTTTCTCCCCTGGCCAGATTGGTATAGCTTTTGGAGAGTTCACTTCAAAAATGAGTTAGACCATTTAAAACAAAACAAAACAAAACAAAACAAAAAAACAGCAAAAAACGAGTTAGAACTGCATTGGGGACCTAGAACTGTTATCTGCTTGAGTTGCCCCAGCACTCAGATGAGGATGATAATTCGTTTTATAACTGTGAAACTCAGTATAACCCTGTAAACTCAAGCCTACACATGTGAGTTGGCATTTTTATGACCCCATTTGACTAGAGGTTGGAAAGGGGTCAGGTTCCTGAAAACTAGCACCATTTAAATCCTGTAGTTCTCCTTTTAGCCTCAGATTGTTCCATAATCACAAGTTTGGGGGTTTATGTGGGGGTGAGGAGGAGAGGCTGGCCACGACCCTGTTCTGCCTCCAAAGTAACATTTGAGCTGATTTTTTTTTTTAAGATTTTATTTATTTATTTGACAGAGAAAAATACAGCGAGAGAGGGAACACAAGCAGGGGGGAGTGGGAGAAGGAGAAGCAGGCTTCCCGCAGATTAGGAACCCTGATGCGGGGCTCAATCCCAGGACCCTGGGATCATCTGAGCCAAAGGCAGATACTTAATGCCTGAGCCACCCAGGCGCCCCTTGAGCTGATTTTTTGATGGATAAACAGGAGTTCTTCAGGGAACTAAGGAATATTCTGGGAACACTGAAGGGTATTTTAAAGATTTTATTTATTTATTTGAGAGAGAGAGAGCATGAGAAGGGAGAGCTTCAGAGGAAGAAGCAGACTCCCCGCTAAGAAGGGAGTCCACGGAGTCAATCTGGCGGCTCCCGGATCCTGACCTGAGCTGAAGGCAGTCCTTTAACCAACTGAGCCACCCAGGAGCCCTGAAGGGTATTTGTAAAAGAAGAGAAGTGCAATCTAAGCTTCTAGAAACTAGAAAATGAAGTGCCAAATAAAGCCAAAGGAAGAGAAGTGAAGAAACAATAAACAAAACCCAATAAAACTGGACACAAAAACAATAGAGAAACTCAATATAAAAGGTGGTTCTTTGGAAGAGATCAATAAAGTTGATAAGCATCTAGCAAGGCTGGCAAAAAAGCAAGAACAAGAGAAGGAAAACTGGAGGTGCCTGGCTGGCTCAGTTGGTAGAGCATGCAACTTATTTATTTATTTATTTGACAGGGAGAGATCACAAGTAAGTAGAGCAGCAGGCAGAGAGTGAAGGAGAAGCAGGCTCCCGCTGAGCAGAGAAGCCCCATGCGGGGCTCAATCCCAGGACCCTGAGACCCTAATCTGAGCCGAAGGCAGAGGCTTAACCCACTGAGCCACCCAGGCACCCCGAGCATGCAACTCTTGATCAGGGGTTGTTAGTTTGAGTCCCATGTTGGGGGTAGAGATTACTTAAATATAAAATCCTAAAAAAGAAGGAAGACCCAATTTATGATTAGCAGAAACGAAAGTAGGGATAGCACTGAAGATCCTCATATGCAAAAGATACTTACTTAGAGAATAATACAGGCATACCTCAGGGATATTATGGGTTGGGTTCCCAACCACTACAATAAAGTATCACGAGAAAGTGAGTCAAATTTTTTTTTGTTTCCCAGTACCTATAAAATTTATGTTTACATCATACTGTAGTCTGTTAAGTTTGCAATGGCATTATGTCTTAAAAAAGAGTATGCATCTTGATTTGAAAATACTTTATTGCTGAAAAATGCTAATCATCATCTGAGCTTTCAGTGAATTGTAATCACTGATTACAGATCACTGTAACAAACAGGAGAAGTTTGAAATATCAAGAGAATTACCAGAATGACACACAGACACAGAAATAGGCAAATGCCGGGAGGCTGGGTGGCTCAGTCAGTTAAACATCTGCCTTCAGCTCAGGTCATAATCTCAGGGTCCTGAGATCCTTATGGGGCTTCCCTGCTCAGCAGAGAGCTGGCTTCTTCCTCTCTCTTTGCCCCTCCCCTTCTTGTGCAGGTGCATTTTCTCAAACACCAAAATTTTTTAATAGACTTTATTTTTTTAGAGATTTTACTTATTTGACAGAGAAAGGCACAGTGAGAGAGGGAACACAAGCAGAGGGTGTGGGAAAGGGAGAAGCAGGTTTCCCACCAAGCAGGGAGCCCGATGCGGGGCTCAATTCCAGAACCCTCAGATCGTGACCTGAGCCGAAGGCAGACACTTAACGACTGAGCCTCCCAGGTGCCCTTTTTTTTTTTTTTTTTCAAGATTGTATTCATTCCTTTGATAGCACATGCAAGGGGAACAGCAGGCAGAGGGAGAGGGAGAACCAGGCTACTTAGCAGGGAGCCTGATGTTTGATTCCATGACCCTGGGATCATGACCTGAGCCGAAGGCAGAGGCTTAACCCACTGAGCCACCCAGGCGCTTACCAAGTAGAATTTAGTCCGAAGTTGCCAGACTGGTTCAGTATAAAAAAACTGATAGCTCTCATTCACCATATTAACAGGCTAAACAAAACAATGTATATGGTCTTCCCAATCAATGCAGAAAGAAACATTTAACATAATTTAGTATTCATTTATGAAAAAAACTCTCAGCAAAGAATAGAAGGAACTTCCTCAACCTGTTAAAGAATATCTACAGATGGGGGCGCCTGGGTGGCTCAGTGGGTTAAAGCCTCTGCCTTCGGCTCAGGTCATGATCCCAGGGTCCTGGGACTGAGCCCCACATCGGGCTCTCTGCTCAGCAGGGAGCCTGCTTTCTCTCTCTCTGCCTGCCTCTCTGCCTACTTGTGATCTCTGTCTGTCAAATGAATAAATAAAATCTTAAAAAAAAAAAAAAAAAGAATATCTACAGAGGGGCGCCTGGGTGGCTCAGTGGGTTAAAGCCTCTGCCTTCAGCTCAGGTCATGATCTCGGGGTCCTGGGATCGAGCCCCACATCAGGCTCTCTGCTCAGCAGGGAGCCTGCTTCCCCCCTCTCTCTGCCTGCCTCTCTGCCTACTTGTGATTTCTGTCTGTCAAATAAATAAATAAAATCTTTAAAAAAAAATCTACAGAAATCCTACAGCTACAATCATACTTAATGGTGTAAAACTAGACACTTTTCTCTTAAAATCAGGAACTCTCGTGGTTAAAGTCCCAGCCAGTTCAATAAGGCAAGGAAAAGATACAGTGCAATAAGGCAAAAAAAAAAAAAAAAAAAGACTGGAAAGGAAGATATGAAACTGTCTCTATTTGTAGATGGCATGACTACATACATAAAAATCCCCAAGGAAGCTACAAAGAACTCGTAATATTAATAAATGAGTTTAGCAAGTTTAACAGGATACAAGATTAACATACAAAAATCTACCGTATTTATATGTACTGTTAATAAACAACTGGAAACCGGGCGCCTGGGTGGCTCAGTGGGTTAAGCCGCTGCCTTCAGCTCAGGTCATGATCTCAGGGTCCTGGGATCGAGTCCCGCATCGGGCTCTCTGCTCAGCAGGGAGCCTGCTTCCCTCTCTCTCTCTCTCTCTCTGCCTGCCTCTCCATCTACTTGTGATCTCTCTCTGTCAAATAAATAAATAAAAAAAAAATCTTAAAAAAAAATTAAAAAAAAATAAACAACTGGAAACCAAAATTTAAAATACAATACAGGGGCGCCTGGGTGGCTCAGTGGGTTAAAGCCTCTGCCTTCCGCTCAGGTCATGATCCCAGGGTCCTGGGATCAAGCCCCGCGTCGGACTCTCTGCTCAGCGGGGTGCCTGCTTCCCCCTCTCTCTCTGCCTGCCTCTCTGCCTACTTGTGATCTCTGTCAAATAAATAAATAAAATCTTTAAAAAATTTTTTTAAATAAATAAATAAATAATCTTTAAAATAAAATAAAATTTACAATGGGGGGGGGATATCCAGAGGGTGAGGAGGGAAGTAGAAGGAGGGAGAAGTATTTAGGTGTATGTCTGACAAAACATGTATAGAATCTGTATGCTAAAATCTATAAAACCCTGATGAAGAACTCAAATAAGATCTAAATTAATGGCGAGATGTCCATATATCCATGTACTGGAAGACTGAACATAGTAATGATACCAGTTCTCTCCAAACTGAACTCTAGGTTTAAGGCAATTCCTATGAAATTCCCAGGAAAAATCTTTGTAGTTATAGACAACTTTATTGTTGTAA